GTTAGCCAGACCTATACGCAAACTGAAGCCCCACAGTCGGCTTTCCCAAAAGCAGATAGTTCCGAGAGCTTATCCCCAAGCCACTGACAGAAGGACTAGTGACCAGCCGATTGACATCCGTGAGGACGACTAAGGTGCCTCCCGTTTAGCTGAATCAGAGGTCAAAGCAGTGTGTTGGGGACAGTACCTCAACTACCAGGACCCTCCTTTCCAGCGACACGGATCTCTATGCACGGCAAACACGTGGGCAGTTTTCTCGCCACTCGAAAACTAGAGACAAGAGCTGTTCCAGTTTCTCGTGACGAGCGACAAACTCCGAAGACGGAAACCACAAGGGAGAAGGGAAGGGAAAGAGTTCCAGCCAAGAGGAGAGGAGACGGAAAAGAGGATACATCACAGGGGCTCCACGATCGTGACACCCGTCTCACCAAGAAAATGATACCCTGAAGGGCTAGGGTACCTCGGGATAGCCACACCCATACTCACAAGAGTGAGTTCCTGAGGGGCCTTTAACTTAGAAGAAGTTAAATGAATTGTTGAAAAAGTTACAGGAACTGCTTCATTTAGCAGTGGAGATAGCTGCGTATTTAAGAAGAAAGAGGACACATTATTTTTCCACAGACAAAATTTTCCCATTCCTTGTAAGAAACTTAAAAAAGTTTCTATAATATATAATACAGAAGCTTTATTTATTGCGTATAGAATTGTGTGTTCTTCTTTAACACGCTCATTTATTCAGACATTTTGTACCAATTTTATATATTTTTCATGCAAATAACAGAATTATTTCTGTGCACATATTAACCGGTTTTTATCTTGATATAATTCATTTACTTTGTTTTTACACTTGAGACTACTTTATACACAGTCAGGCCAGCTTCCCCCAACCATGGATAATCCCACCTCCCGGCAAAGTTCTCCTGTTAAGATCTTGCTCTGGAACGCGCAGAACGTTACCTCCAAGATACCGGAACTTCATGAATTTATCCAGCAAAATGACGTAGACATCTGCTTAATTACAGAAACCCATGCTAACCCTTCGCACTCCTTAAGGATAGCCAATTATTTCAGCTACCGTAGTGACAGACTCCACCATCGTGGTGGCGGAGTGCTCATTTATGTTAAAAGGACATTTGATTCATATCTGAAAAGTGCAGAAAATTGTGATGGAATGGAAAGTGTTAAAGTGATGGTGAATCTACCCAACATTGGGGATGTCACTTTCTGTGCGGTGTATAACCGCCCTGGGAACAAGCTCAGTGCTGAAATTCTGGATAGACTTATTAACTCAGACTCCCCCACCTTTCTAGGTGGCGATTTAAACGCCAAGCATCTCGACTGGGGATGCCGCAACTCGAATTATAATGGACGCATAGTGCATGATTTTGTGTGTAATTACCCTGTCTTTCTGCATGTGCCGGATGAGCCTACCTATAGGCCAAATATACTCAACCATCGGCCTGACATTCTGGATATTTTTATTACGACGTTCAATATTCCTATGGCTATTACGGTAACATGTGACATGTCTTCTGATCATGTACCTGTGCTTGCTTACCTTGGAGTGGAAAATGCTAAGAACCTACCGCCAATTAAGCATACTGATTGGAATCTTTATCATAATACTTTGATGACCACTGATTTTAATTGTGACTCGTTACAAAGCACTTCGGATATTGAACGTGCTATAACAGACTTTACTTCGTACCTGCATTCTGCTAAGTCCCTAGCTACGACTGAGGTTGACCGTGTCAGACATGAGCACACGCTTCCTGCCAATATTCGCGAAATAATCTGCTTTCGAAATCATCTCCGAAAGGAATTTAATCTCACCTGGGATCCTGCTATCAAAACTCAAATTAACAGGCTTAATAGGAAAATCAAGCAAAAGATTCAGGACCATCGTTCTAGCTTATGGCAGGATAAGATGGAAAAGATCAACGACGAACCTGGCGCCATCTGGCGTCATACAAGGACACTAAAACGCCCCTGCTCTGCCAGAAAACCGCTTAAATGCGATAACGGATTTGCTTACTCCGATCAAGACAAAGCGGAACTTTTTGCGGAACACCTTTCTAAACAGTTCATTCCAAATTCCTTCCCCTCAGATCATAGTTCGGACATTCAAGTTCATTACCTTAACGATCAATGGCTGCACTCCCCTTCTACGGAACCTTCTATCAAACTAACCACGCCGCACGAAGTGCAGAACATTATTAAGGGACTTAAATTAAAGAAAGCTCCAGGAAAGGACAAGATCACGAACCAGATGCTGAAAAACATGCCTTTTAAGACCGTATGCAAATTAACAGGCATTCTCAATGCATGTTTGTATCAAAATTATTTCCCGCTTTTCTGGAAGCAAGCAAGCATCCTGATGATTCCTAAGCCAGGGAAAACACAGGATTACCCGGCAAACTTTAGACCCATCAGCCTGCTGTCCTCCATAAGCAAGATTCTGGAACGCATTATTTATCTCAGAATGCAAGAAAACTTGGACTTTCTCGTTGATCACCAGCACGGTTTCCGGAAAGGACTTTCGACCACAACGCAGTTAGTCAGGCTCACGGAGTTCATCGGCGCGGCTATGCACAACAGAATGAGTGTTGCTATCCTGATGCTAGACGTGGCAAAGGCTTTTGACCGCGTCTGGCATCCAGGGCTAATCTATAAGCTAATTCATCTCGGTTTCCCCAGAAATCTGATACTCATTATCAAGTCCTTCCTTGAAAATAGAACTTGCACCGTTGGAGTTGGAAATGCAACTTCATGTGTCAAAAATATTTACGCAGGTATTCCTCAAGGGTCAATTTTAGGCCCGCTTTTTTACATCATCTATACCAACGATTTCCCTTGCTTTTCCGAGGATACAAATGTTCTCGCAGCCAGCTACGCTGATGATACAGCGATAGCCACCAAGTCTCTAAACCCAGAGTATGCCTTGTCAAGAATTCAGGCGAAAATCCCTGCTATTGAGGGGTGGTGCAGTCGCTGGAAAACGTGCATTCAGCCAGAAAAGTCCAAGATTCTACTCATTCGAAATCGCAGACAGAGGAAACGGGTCAGAACTGAGGTTAAACTTTTTGGCAAAATCATCCCTACAGTTGATAAAGCTAATTACCTGGGAGTTACCCTTAACAAGAACTACAATTGGAAGGATCATATGCTTAGAGTAAGCGGAAAAGCACACGGGATCATTTTCAGGCTTTTTCCTCTCCTAAAGAATGAAAACCTCACCCTCAGACTGAAAAAGAGGATTTATGAAACTGTAATCCGACCCATTCTCACGTATGCTTCCCCAGCCTGGGCAAACTACAAAGCAAACGAAATTAGCAAACTCCAAGTGCTTCAAAATAAGGTGCTAAGAATCATCACAAAAGCTCCTTACTATGTTCGGAATAGGACTCTCCACTCCGACTTGAAAATAGATACTATTCAGGACTACCTCAGCAGAATAAACAACAACTTTTTTAATAATATTATCAATGTGAATCCCGCTAATTTCACGGACATTCTTATCTACGAAATCCTGGCTGAAGACAAAAACCTCCGCCCATTTGCCGCCCACCTCTTGAGTTCAGAATTCTAAGTTCCAGTTTTCTGGTTTTCAAGCAGCATCAATCGGGGTCAGTTTCTGGGAGGGTGACCTCCCACGTGACTGGCTCCGACGAATGAACAGTTAGTATTCGGGCTATCCTACACAGGTCATCCGAAGTTTCTTTCTCCGGCCCCTGCTTGGCGGATTCCATCCAAGATGTAGCAGTACAGGAGCAAAGTGCTTCTTTTTCTCTCTCCAGCACACTTCTACCTCCACGAGAGAAAATTTCTTTCAGGTTTCTACTCTGTCAGGCCCCACATGGGATCACATCAGGAACTGGCAAGAGCAGGACTTTAATTTCCTGCTGAAAGCCAGTATAACCGCAAAGTTCCAAAGACTACTTTATCTTCTAGTTCACTATGTAATACCCAGCAGTGGCTGGGCGGTAAAATCGCTGAACACTGGTAGTTTGTTCTGGGGCTCAAGTACCGGCGAACGGGCTAGCTGCATGGGAGACTTCGGGGTTTTTCCCATGCTTAATGTGTGTATAAGGCAGTTTCCTTTAAGTCTTTGTTGAACCATCGCCCATCCAATGAGTAACAGTAACCACCACCATTTTTCTATTGAATGTCTTACTCACTCATGTGAGTAGTTTTCAAGAAGTAACGTTTCTGAAGTTCCCTTATAGCTCACTAGATAGCAGTAAAGAAACATAAGCCAGTAGCTGATGCAACATTTCGTCATCGAGAAAATAGGTATCAGCCACCGAAGACATTACGACGATGTGCACTCTGCAGCACCAAGAAAAAGCCTGTAAGAACAGTGTGGGAATACAGCACATTCAAAGTTGCACTGTACTTGAAAAGAAAAACTGCTTCCATGAGTACCATAGAGACTTATTTGTAGGGATGTGTTCTGTGGGCGATGGTCATCGAAACTAACCACCAGAAGTGGTCATTTTTTCACTCGTCTTGGAGAAAATATGCCTAATTGTCGCAAATAATTTCATTGTAATACTTGATATAGTAAATGAAACAAGAGTTTTACTGAAAAAGTTAATTGCCTTTTCCTGCCTCTCAAAGAGTCAAAGCGTCTTCCACGAAAGCATCTCTCCCCTCAGACAAAGAGCCCTCGAGAGCTTTGCTACAATTAAATAAACCAAATCATTACGCAACACTCAGCTCTTAAGCAGATAAATTTTAGCCACAGTGGTAGCTTGAAGACAGATTTATACTGGTTTCTTTCCATTTGTAGGGGGGAACTACTGCCTTGTGATAAGCAACAGTTAAGTTTGATTACCTCTGATAGATAAATATTTCATTGGGAAAGATTTACTTGAATTATCACGTCTCCTCGAAATCTAACTTATCTTGTGACATACAAAATGCTTTGTGGGTGGAAGTCACAAGTTAATTTACTTCAAAAAGGAAAGATAAATGTACGGAAAAATATGTTTACTTACATTTGCATTTTCCGGCATACTCCACGTAATCTATGTAGCAAAAACATATTTTTTGAGTTCCATTATAAGAGCAAAATCCACCTCTTCCACAGTCACATTCTGCAATACATTTAAATAAATTAGGGACTTCTGATTGTATTTCCTTCTTATTATCACGATTAATACTGATAAAATTAAAAGCAAATCTTATATTATATATATTTATATATTATTTATTTATATATTATAATTAAATTTTATTATATATAATTTATAAATTTTTATATAAGACATATTTAACATCTCTTAACACAAGATTAGAGATGTTTTCGATGACGAGATTTTCATTATTGCATGTCGAACATAATTAATTACATTTAAGTCGATATAACTGACTTAGAAACACAGTTAAATCGATATCATTGACTTAGATGTTTATTAATGATACTGAGATTCTTCAAATTCGATATCATCGACATCGAAGACTATCCGCAAAAGAGACACAGGATGCGACAGTTCAGTTCCTGGATTGCACCTTTGATAAATATACACGTGGACCTTTTAGAAGGACATTTCATATCCTTTTCAAAGTACATTGCTTGCACATCTATACACTAATAGAAATGGTATTGCCAATTCTTGTAAATATACGTGGGACTTTTTCTTACGAAATGCAGTTAAGTTTTCGAATCGCATTATTTTAGATATCATTTCTACTTTTTTATACGAAGTAAAGGAAGTATTGTGATCAAGAAAATTTCGGGTATCACATTTTAGCCAAAGTATCCATTTTGGCAGCTCTCGAAACCAATTTAGCTATATTTTTTTGTGTCATGTGTACGTATGGACAGAAACACGACGACCGGGACCTTCGGCCCGGGTCCGGGAATTTCACCCGGCATCCATACGAGCTTTGATGAATCCAGGTCGTAGAAGACCTCTTAGTGGCGGCGCAGGCTCCACAGTCTCTGCCCGGCTTTATACAAGACCCCAGTGGGACAGAGATTCACCGCTCAGACAGGATAAATATTCGCTAGGACACCTTTGCTTCGGGGCACTACTCCCTTAGCATAAAACGTTGTTGTAAATCGGTGCTCCACCTTGCCATGTCAGTCCCCGCTACGAAGACTGAGAAGGCTGAACCCCCATCAAAAAGGCCCGATTCATCAACTATGTACCTCCACCACAGCCGAAGGAACGGACACGACAGTACCAGTACGGTCCCTGCCAAGCCTGAACCTACCTGAGTATAAATTCGGGTTCTAGTCCTGTGAAGATGATTTGTATACCCCCGTGGTTGAGACTGTCTAGGTACAGATCCTAACCAGTACTTCCCAGGAATTCTCCTGAGTAAACCCCCGGGGGTGTACCTAGGGACAGAATAAGGGACTCTTTTCCCCAAAACGGATTGTAAAATGGATTCAGAAGAGATCTTTTTTGTAACATCTGTACGTATGTACACTGCGCAAAAAAAAGGGGGAAGTTCTATATCCCCCGTTCTACTGGGCCCATTGACGAAATTGAAATTGCGTTTTCCATGTCATGAATGCGCGACTTAAGATATGTATTAGATTTTTATATAGAGTGGTTCTAACATAGGTATTTTGACACAAAATCGGACTTTTTCTGAGATGACATATGAATTTTTTCCCATATTTTGGTTCTACGACTCATATTATGCCTAGATATTAAATTTTGTAATATTTGGTGAGACATTTATGGAGAAATTTAAAAATTTATCTTGGCGAATTTTTTTCCGTTTGCGCCAAGGGTAATTCCCTTGGCGAACTTCTTAATTAATAGCAACGTATTTTCCTTTCCTTTATTGTCCACGAGCAGGAAAAAAGTTATCGTTCATATTTTTAAATAATTTTAACAAAGTGCGTGAACCTTATTTTTGTTATTATCGCTTATACGCCAGATTTTAAAACGTGCCAAAATGTAAATTCACGTATATCTTACGACATTTTGAATAAAAAACTCCAATTTTTTGCAGGTATGCTTAGAAATACATGTACCTTAAAGTAACGGTAAAACTTTCATAGGTTATAATTCAAAATGTTTTCCGAAAAACTTATAAAAAATTATTTAAAAATACAAATTTTTAAAAACGAATCATAAAAAATAGGCGAATTTTATTTGGAATGAACCTAAATTTCGAAATATGAAAGGAGGAATCAAATAAGTTTAAAAAAAAGAGATATTAATAAATATATATCAAACACAATTAACATGGGTTAACATTTTGAGAGCCAATTTTTTGGAAACTACTAATGCTATTTTTACAAAACTTCGCAGTTTGGCATAATTTGAATCGTAGAATAGAAATATGGAATAATATTGTCATGTCATTTCAGAAATAGACCGATTTTGTGTCAAAATACCTATATTAGAACAATGTTATATATAAATCTTATACATGCCCTAAGTCGCTCTTTCGAGACATGAAAAATGCAAGTTGAATTTTGTCAATTGGCCCAGTAGGACGGCAGATATACAGGGTGTGGCAGCGTTCATAGCGTAATTTGACTTGCATAACACAATGACGTACCGCATGAATGCGCATAAGCTCGTGCCATATTCGTGTACTAATGAGCTGCCATTTCGAGTGTGACAGTGATATGGATCGATGGAGTGCACATCATCCTGCCTTTGCTGTTGAAAGTTATTTCAAAAATAACTCCTCTGTTATTGTTCCCCCAGCCTCTATTTCGGCAACATTTCAACTTGTGACGTCATGGGAAAGTTCCAGATGGACGGACCATTGCAACAGACATTTCCAGGTAGAGTAATTTCCCGTTTTAGTAACATTTCCTGGCCGCCTCGCTCACCTGATCTTTCATGTGCAGACGTTTTCCTTTGGGGGCCACCTGAAGCAAGAAGTTTTCCGAACACGATGTGCCAACATTCCTGAGTTGAGGGATCGCATCAGAACTGCCGTCGGCAATATCCCAGGGAATACGTTACGCTGAATTATGGCAAGCTTCCACGCCGCCTAGATGAATGTGTTGTGCAAAGGGGGCATTATTTGACAGGCCACATTCAAAAAGCAATCCACGCAATGGGCAATGACTTACACATTAGTAAATGGCATACCTTTAACTATTAATTGACATAAGAAAGTAATAAATACATTACAGTTACTGCCTTATGGTGTGTTTTAAATATCCTACTATGAAACTGCCGCACTTTAGAGAACCATCCGCCCCCTTTTTTTTGCGCAGTTTACGTATCTCGCATAACTCAAAAACGAGTAGACTCAGAACACTGAAATTTTGTTGTAATAACATGACGCCAAGAAAGCTGCCGAAAAGCAATGTTTCAAAGAAGGCTTTGACTAAAACCATACCGAAAACGTATGTGATAAGGTTTGTTCCGTTGGTTGTGTTGGTAAAAGTATATGCCACATGTTGTGAAAAAGATGAATATAATGGCAACTTACCCCAGGACAAGATCCAGGTCTATAGCCCGCCGTGGCGAGAGAGTGACAAACACGAAACCGATTTAATTCTTGCTTTATTGATACTACTAATGTTGAAGAGATATCCTTTTTGAATCTGATGTGTCACATGGCGATATGAGGCCTCCTCACTCAGAGAAATAAGTAGACCAACGTTTCGACGGAACCCTTCGAAGGCGTGGTATATTGCAGCTCAATCACATGAAGGTGCTCCTCATCGGGATCAGATCGGTTGCCGGGCGAAAATGCCAAGCCCGGGAAGGAAGAGATCAGCTAAAATTTTGTAACTACAGCATCAGAAAGAAAGAAAACTCCCTTTCTGCATTCACACAGGGAGACTAAGAAAGTTTGCACGATAAGTTCCAAAAGTTTGCATTTCACCCCACTCTTATAGTCTTTTTCCCATCTCCATCTCGCACCTTCACAATCTCCTCCTCCTTAGGCGAACAAAATTACCGCCTTCAACTCCAACTTCCTCTGTATGCCACGATTAACCTGCAAAGAATGCAGGTTGTTTTCCGGCTATCTCAGTTAGATGCTTCGATGAGGGATGTAGGAAGGGAAATGCTGAAAGTAGTTCTGGGGAAGGCAGGATATCAGGTACTAGGGGCGTGGCCAGTTTTCCCGTGATGAGCTTTGAGACATCTGAAATCGAAATCGAGTGAGTGGTTAGGCGGCATTTAGTAGCCTCTGCTACTTTAACCGTCTCTGTTGGAGATATGCCCTAAGGCATTGGAAAGAATTAGAAAATTAGGGTGATTTACACCGCACCGATGAAGGTGAAGCTGGAACATGTGCTAATGCACTTGAGTTGGGAAAGTTGACTTAGGAGAAGGAGGGTTTAAGCATCTTGTTCTTCATTGGCCGCCGTACAAGCTATGATGTATCTTCACTAGTGCGACATCTGAACAAATTACCGCCTTTTATAAAGTTCCACAGTTATACTCACAGTTAAGTTTTGCAGCCAATGAAAACAATCCAGCATCAGAAGGCAACCAATCGCAAAATACCTTCAGCTACACAGGCAAATACAAGTGAAGTGGCTAGTTGTCTGATGCAATACTTTCCTCCGCTTACAACAGTTGTCTAATGTAATACTTTCTTCCGCTTACAAAAAAAGTTGGAGAAAAAAAGGAAACTTTCAACAGTGGAATCTGACGCAAACATCTAAATATTGCCATAACGTTGTAAATAATTAAGTCAATGTGACCTCGTCACAACATATGTTGCAAAAACTACAAAAGTGCTCACCTCGTTTGTTCTTGGCTACGTCTCATGATTAGTGTCCAATGATTGCGGCACATACAACTCTTTATTCAACTCATATAATTATGGAATGAATCCTCCTGTTCCTGATTCCGGTAGCGGCGGCGCTATATAAATTCCGCAAGGTAGGAATCAAAAATGTCGTCCCACGACTTCCGAAGACCTAGCGCTTAATATGCGTTTAATGTGCTTGCGCTTAATGTGGCTAGCGCTTAATGTGCATGCAAACCTAGCGTTTAATGTGGATCCGCATGTTTTCAGTGGTGCTGGCATGAACGTCAGTTTTGAGCACCTTTCTCGCAGCAAACCCATCATAGCCATCAGATTCATCCTTAAGCTCGACCAGACGCGTTTCTTTCGCACAAAACTGACATTTAAGGAGAGAGCCATTTAAACCTTCATTTATACACCAACTAGTTGCAGCTTCTTATCCTTTCTCTCTAAATCACGGGGGGGGGAACGAATATTCATTTTGCCAGAGATACTTTGAGTGGAAGCGACAGGACAATGACTAGTTAGAACCATCCAGCTAACGAAAGCCAGAGGGCAGTTAAAGTTTTGTGATTCAAAATATAATCAAAATTCAAAATGCGTGATTTGTATTTTATGTTACACGCATTATAAATCACGTAGTCATCGATCACTAAACTAATGAGTTCCAATAAGCCTAAACTTAAGAAAAACACTGGCACGTAACAAAAAAGAGCTGTTATAAAGCTAAGGAAACTGAGTCCAATCTGGGTTATTAGAAAACTAGCAGCAGCGTCTGTATTGGGCACCGAATCAAAGGGTCCTTTTCTTGGCATGTAACAAAAAATGGCTGTTATAGCACTAAAGAAAATGAGTCCAATCTGGGTTATTAGAAAACTAGCAGCAGCGTCGGTGTTGGGCGCCGAATCAAAAGGTACCCTTTTCTTGGCACATAACAAAAAAAAAAAAAAAAAAAAAAAAAAAAAAATGTCTATTATAACACTAGAGAGACTGAGTCCAATCTGGGCTATTAGAAAACTGGTTGCAGCGTCGGTATTGGGCGCCGAATCAAAGGATACATATTCTTTTCTACATTAGAACCAGAAACTCCATTCATGACTGTGGCGACTTGCCTACTACAACTCAACGCTGCCAGTTTGGTAACTCATAGCAACGCAAAACAAAATAATGTTTATTCTATTGTTAATATAGATACCAAAAAATTATATTAACTATCTATTTTTGTTATCATAGTTGCTTGTCCAACTACGCTTTATTTGTTATTGTTCAAAACGGCTGATTATATAAATTAAATTATTATATTAAAAGTAGCGTGTAATTATCTGTCTCAAAAAATTGTACTATCATAATGACAGACATCATAACTCAAACTGAAACTATTTATGCATCCTTAAACGTCTTAAAAATCCTTATGCATCCTGAAACATTTTCGGCCTGCTGTTTTGTAGTGTATTCTCACAACATACTTCGTAACATATGATCAGCATAAGGCAAACTTCCAGACATATGACATTATCATTGTGGATAGGATTTAACGGTGATGCTTACGTGGTCTGTCATTGGGGAGCTTCATGCGGTTGTTGTAGCAATGTATAGTTTGCTAATATGCGTCCAAGAGACGGATCCGAGAGTCTTCCATTCCTCTTCGCCTATCATCAAGCATCTCGAGTGAAATTTTGCTTCTACATGTACTTTAAGTGCCCTCATGCCTCAGAGACACTATATATTTACAGACATTCAAGCATCTTCCGGGATCCGAACCCGGATTGAAAGATGAAGCAGTCAGCATCGCTAACCACTATACCAACCAGGATGGCAGATAGTAAGTGTCCTTAGTTTGTTGAAAACGGGTAGCGTAACTATATGGTAAATATTTACTTATTCGAAATTACAGGGACTATATAGCATGCAATAGTTATAATGTATTCCTCCTTTCTTCATGCCTTCGTGGTGTAACGGTAGCACACCCGGCGTGTATTCGAGACGTCCAGGTTCGAGTTCCGGCAAGAAGATTTTTCATGTCCTCTGCTTCAAAAAATCCTAATGACTCTACTGTGGCGCCCGAACTAATGGTGGTCGATGATAATTCTTCACCACCAGGATTTAGAGACTGGTTCTCCTAATCCCCACTCATCCTCTAAAAGGGGAAGTATATACGGTATTTTCTTCCTCTTTCCAGTATGCCTTGTGGAGTAACGGTTAGCACACTCGGCGGATATTTGAGAGGTCAAAGTTCGGGTCCAGACGAGGGCATCCCACATTTTTCACCTCTTCAACTGCCAAAAATTCCGAATGTCTCTACATAGTAACCCATAAATTTTATGATAGCAGTTTGCTCACAATATAAATGCAAAAGCATTTTACATTGGAAACTTTATTTCGAACATTTCACACTTCATTTAATGTAATGTTGTATTGGAAAAGTTTACTTTTTATGAAGAATTAGATGTCAAAACTAATATTCGTCTGAAAACAGATAGCAGTTACACGTTATAAAATAGATTCATGTTTTTAGCTTACCGAGGCATTCTTCATTGACTTCTCTATCCCCATAATGACACCTGCAAAGCCTTTGTCCCTCGGTGCTGAATGAACAAACTCCTCCTTTGCATCTACAAGCTGGGAAAATAAATAAATAAAAATTGAATAAGCATAAAAAGAAAGAACGAAAATCTGAAAAGATTCAGATTTTAACGTCGGTCCAGAAGACTTGTAATTGTTTTGTATCCTATCGCTGAACAGTTTACCAAACTGCTCTTGAACTCACTCCTGCCAGAGAATGTTTTTGTCTTTTTAGCTTTAGTATCAAGCAACGCTTTCCTCGAAATTACGCTACATAATTCAAGCGTGAAATCGCATAATATTTAACAGCAACATATCATTTTAGAACTCCTGATAGAGTTCCACGGGTTGCTAAATAATTTTTATATTCGCTATATTATTTCTTTGAAAACTAGCCGTTCGGGTTGCCAGTCGACTGAAAGATTATCTTAGAAAAAAATATATAATGATTTCAATGAGTCCACATGTTGTCATTTCATAAAAGTTGTTACGAAAGTTCTAGATCAAAGTCGAATCACTCATAATCCAAAAAATGACATGTATGGCCTGGAGGGTTTTCCATAAATTTTAATTAGACTTAATATTTACATATATACAATGTTGGCTAAAATGCCTGAATCGAATATTTAAGGCTCAAAAGGCAATAACTGAATAGTTCCAGCTAATATATAAATCGAATTCTATTGCGTAGTGCATCGAAATTCTACCTTCAAGAAGAAGAATATTTTTTCAAGTCACGTGTTCAGAAGGGGAAAGGTTAAGTAAGCCAATAGATGGACTCCTAACGCCATCTCTTGGCGATATCAAAGAATATTCCTTAACAAAAGTATTTAATGTTTCTAACTAGACAACTCATGGTTTAAATGCATTTTTATTTAAATCATTCAGATTAAGAAGGAGAAGATATATTTTTAATATATGCATTTGCTGCTTTACAATCTACTACTCAGCAATGCAAAGATTAAATTTGAAAGTTAAATATAGTACGCTTTGCTCAGTGGCAACAAGCTGGTGAATGGAGATTACAAGTATTCTATTTGAGCCAGTGGCAACACACTGCTTTCAAATAATCCAATTTGTGAGTTTAATTTGAAAGACTCATCTTACATTTTGTCGATTGGCAACAGTTTGGCGCGCTGGAGATAAAACGTTTTATTTTGAACAGTGTTGTCAGTTACCGATGTTTGTTACACAAAAATTCGTTAAAATTTGTACAAAATATGACATAAGTCAGAAAGAAATTTTAAATTCAAAATTCGGGTTTATATTAATGCCCATATTAGGGTGAAGTGCTACATGTATTCAAATGTCGGTGGCTCTTGGTACCTTCGTTTTAACACAATGCAAGGGATATACATACACACAGCAGATTTTTCATTATTTATTTTTTTAAAGTGATGCATGGAGGTAACATTTGGTGGCAATCTGGAAAATGATTGGAATGCAAAAGTGATACGGACAAAAAGTGAGTTTCGATACTAATATCACCTCTGTAGCTGTTGTTGCTTATGCTCACTTGTCTGACGTAGTCAGCCCAAGCCCGCCAAATATCTTATGGCAAGGAGCGCTAGAATACACCTGCCGTTTGTACCAGCCTTGAGCACCATTCATGGTGACAGTGCGATTTAGCTCAGTTTCGATCCCAATTTTGGTGGAGACCATCCCAAGGAGACGGATCCGAAGGCCTAACCACACGAGAGGATTTTCGCCTCGCCGCATATTTAGAGCTACCCCATGCCGCACCGACATTATACATTTAAAAACACCCATGCCTTCTCCGGGGATTCGAACCCGGACCCTTCGACACGGCAACCAGTGACGCTAACCACTATACCAGTTGGGCGGCAATAGCACCTCTGGTACTAATAAACGTTAGGTAAAGTTAAAAAAAAATACATTTGTTTGATATGCAAATTTTCTTTTGGTTCATTCTTGATATGCATTTTTGAATTCCATTCAACTTTGACTTGTTCTCGATATGCGTTCAAATTTGACTGTCTATGCTTAAGCCATTATTACCTTTTCTTGCCCTGTTGGGTTCAAATTTCCTAGCTAAATTTTGCAAGCCGACGGCTAGTATATCTGTCATTAGCTACTCCTCCACGTATGTTTATTGATGTTTTCAACTACAATCTACAGAATTTCAAAATTCAGACATGTAAACGTACAACAGTTTTACTTGACTGTAATTTATGAGTGAACGTATGTCGGAAGTGTTGAATGTTTACTGCTAGTAGACCGAAACAGGTAACAAAACTGTGTCACCAAACCTATGATTTTGTATTGTGATATAAATATACTCAAGAGCATTGAAAACAGCGCACTAAGAAGGGAGTATCGGAAAAAAAAATTAATATATATAATTAATGATACAAATGAGAGATTAACTTGATCCCCAAACCAAGACAATTAAACAAATACAGTGTGTAAATTAGACAAATACAGTGCAACTTCAGTAGAGGGTCGGATGGCCTCCTACTGAAAATACATGCCACGACACGGACCGGCTCTGACTTGATTAGACGTCTCCTGAGTCTGATGAGCCTGAATCGTGAACAGTCACCTTCAAATCATGTATAGAATGACATGGCGTGGCGTTTCAGCTTTTCCCACACACGCTCTGTAGACAAATCAGGAGAGCGGGACAGCTATGGAAGAGTCTGAACAGGGCGTAGGAAGTCTTCAGTAACTCGACTTGTTTGCGTACGAGCATTACTTTTGCTGGAAAATCGCCACTGGGAAGCCATTTAGGAAAGGTCCCACGGGGAGATTAAGTATGTCAGAGACATAACGTGGTCCGCTAAGGTTCCATGAACCATACTTAGAGTGGACCCGCTATGACAGGCTATGCCCCCCAAACCATTACGCGTGCTGTGCTGCCAGTGTGTCGCGCAACGGCCTGGTTGGAATTCGGGGATTCACGAAGGCCCGAATTTCACCACACACGAAGGCCCGAAACCACGTGGCCCGAATTCCACCACACACGAAGACCCGATTCACGAAAGTCCGAATTCCACCACACAACCGTACGTGGTTATCGTCTGTTTACAAAACGAACCGGGATTCGTCACTAAACACCATGTTTAGCCAATCTGTGGCATTGCATGTCGTTCTGGCTTGGTACCATTGTAGAGAATCGCCGATGTTTCGTGTTAAAGTCAGTACTTGAAAAGGGTGCTTGGATTACAGATTGGCTTCCGCAAGGCGCTTGGAAATTGTTTGTGGAACAACTGCCACCCCTATACATAATTGCATTCAACGTCAACTGTGGCCACATGAACGCTTGCCATACGATCCTTCGATCCTCTAGCCTCGTCGTTTTCCTGGTCGCTTCAGATTCCGCATGTGGGTACCACCTCCCAAGATGTTCTGAGGGCACACTCCGAACCATCGACCTGGGAAGCAAGACGGTGCTTAGACCCAGCTGGCGGTTTTCATGTCGATGATCAGATCCCTCTCAAACACGCTTTAACAGTCAGAAATGTCTTTCTGTAGTCGGAATGTGATCGTCGCATTTATGAATCATCATCCATGCGCTGGCTTATATAAAACCCACTTCCCCATCGCAGCGCCACTGCAGGGTGCGTGGTCATGCGCACTGGCACCAAAAAAAAACTTGGACCATTTGCATATCTTTCTTCCTTTCTGGCTCGCTGAGTGAATGTTCCTGAGTGAATTTGCATAATTCCTCACAACACCCTTTCTTTCGCAAACAAAAGAAGCTTATGTCCATCAACGACCAATTCATATGAAACAACTCAATGAGAGTGTGCTTACCATGAAGGATAAGTGAAATACATGGATGGGGCACGGTTTTCATGACAGTTTTATAGTTAGTAGTTCAAAAAGTAGTACTGTCAGAAACAGAAAGAGGCTTCACTGGAATTTATTAATATTGTTACGAATTTTGTATTTAAATAGCTAATTATGGTAGAATTATAATTAAAATTGTTATATTTCCCCATGCAATGCAGCGCGAGACTAATGTTAAGTGAAAGCTGTGCCGGAAAGGTAAGAGTACTGGGGCACGTGCGTTTAACATTGAGTAAATGGATATCTCAGTAATTTGTAATGAAATTGAATAAATGTGATTGACCACTATGTTAGCTGTAACCGTAATTCCATTCTATTATTACTTTCCAGAAATCTCGAGAAGCAGAAAATGCTAGAAATTCCTCGTGACCGGATGAAATTTATAAAAGGCCGGAGTGAGAGTGTTTCAGTTAGTTGCTTAGTTACGCTTGATACGAATAGTTTAGTTCCGTGAGAACTGAGATATTTGAAGTAGCTTTCTCTTTAGATTTTCTTTACACTTTTCGTTGCATTTTAACGTTTTTAGTAGTCTGAAGTATAACTACCGGTTATTACTGCATGATATTAAGAACACTTGTACGAATATCTCCAAGGAAAGTTCCAGCGTTCTGCTACATTTCTTTTGATAAGAATAAATTCTATTAACCTCTTATCGGACTTGTGCATTCAATCTATTACGAACCCGGACGCAGTCAGCAATTTTTGGTGTCACAAGTGGGACTGAATGCCAGTAACAAGAGCGCTGGGGGAGCAGTTAAGATAGCTGGTGGCAGCCTTTGATGCATTTAAAGAAGATATGAAAAATTGCGTAAAAGCAGAAAGGAAAGCTGGTCAAGAATCTGTTAAACAAGTGATGAAAACCGGTCAAGAATTCGTTATATAATTGCAAAAGAATCTCATGGGGTGTCCACACCAATGTTTTTAATTTTTACGTTCTTATTGTAACCACGTTCTTTGCAAATAAAATTACTCGCATAATTCCCCTTTCGATTTTAGATTTTTTTCTTAATTAAAAAAATAGGGAAAATCTGCAAAGAGATATGTTACTGAATTTTTGAATTTTATTTTTAAGTTAAACACAGAGCTAATTTCATATTCTTCAAGCACTACAAATCGCTTTATGATTTATCAAAACACCTTTAAATTTAAATGCATTTAAAAGGCAAAACATAAAATGAGATATTAAATATAACTCAGAAACATTCAATAATAACTTACGCTTGCATGTGCCTTCAAATTCGGCGTATCCTTCATGGCACTTGCATTTTTTACCGTACCAATAACTACAGTCTCCATTTGGTCCACAATCGCATTCTGCAAATAAAAATTCAGCCAATTATGCACATGCTACGGTTTGTCATAATTGCTTGTGCAAATGCGAATCTACAAAACTGAAAAGTCGGAATACTCTTTTAAGAAATCGGGAGAATTATATCAGTCATAAAATATTTGTAAACGATAAAAATATATAAACAGAAGCCATTTTTTATATAAAAAAATCTGAAAGGTTTCAGATTTCATCGATCGTGCAAAAAGGTTTATTAAGGTTTTTCAAATTCCAAATGGCCATATTCGGGTGGAGGACTATATTATTGAAAATCTGATGGTACTAGACACCGTTATTTTTTATACATATATTCCGTGTATGTGAGAGAGAGAGAGAGAGAGAGATTATGGCAAAGCCTCGAGGGCTATCTGCCTAAGAGGAGGGATGCCTTCGTGGAGGACTTTCTAAGGGAAACTGGCTCGTATACACGTTACACATGGGGAAAACCACGAAAACGCCCATGCAGCCAGCCCGTTCGCGGGATTCGAACCTCGGACCGAACTACCAGTGTTCAGCGATTTTACCGCTCGGCCGCTGGTGGGCTATACATATATTCATCAGATACTTCATTATTTAATTTCCTTATATATTGATACGCCGTTTTATTGTTATTCAAAGCAAAATGCCGTTTCGAGATTAACAACCCATTGGGGCTAATGCGCCTTTTGGGTTTAAAAGTAAATAAAGAAAGATGATCTGAAAGTTTTCAGATTTTATATTACTCCCAAAGAGGGCTTTTTTTATTTTTCGTGTGTCACTTTTAATTATTAAATACCACGTTCTTCGCACTTAAAGCACATAGTTGTTGCGGTATATTCTTCCTTCACTTTCGTACGTTGTTCGTGTGGATTTGGAGTGAATAACGTCGACAGCACTTGATGGAATATCGAAACACACTTTGTTTAGCCAATATTAATCAGGGCAGCTCCAAAGACACGTTTTACAGTCGTCGAAGATCTACTATACACTCGCTGGAACAATCAGCGACACAGCCCGCGGTTTTATCAAACTATAACGGTGGAGACAGCTTCACTGCAAAGCACCTGAGTGCAGCTTCCGACTCTGCTGGGTCGTTCTCGGAACTCCACGTACTCTGGAGACTCTCCACGCTACAACTCGCGATTCACTCGACGACACACAGAGCACAGCTCCCGACTCTTCTGTTCAGTCGTTCCCAGAGCTCAATACACATTCTCAACGATGCACTAACTGCGATGCACTACGAGACTCTTTCGATGCGCTCCACGACCCAGTCGCCACTCGCTGCCCTGCTGGCAACTCGATGGACTCCGCACGGACTGACTAACTCGAGACTAACTATCTCGCACCTTGACTATCCGCGTACCAGCAGGGTTTATATAGTTTTTGGCTTGTGCTCGAGAACATTCTGGGATAAACCGGTAAGAATACGTTCCAGAAGGTTCTCCATCTGTCCATGTCATATCGGCAATTTTGTCGCCAAATGAGGGATTTCTTGCCAAATGTAGCAATCGTGCATTCCCTTGCCATTTTGTGGCATCCCTAAACCTGCTTTGCGGGAAGCTATCTCACCGCGCCTGTACATTTCGTAACACACATAAAATTAAATTCAACGGCATATCACAAAATAATTAAAAACCACATTTCTTTAGAATTTCTGATAGACACTCTGGAGTGCTGGAGATAAAAAATGTTGTTTTCGGTACAGCGTTGCCACTGCTAGCTTTCAAATTGTTCAGTGCGTTAAAAGTTCATTAAAATTTTACAAAATATAAAATGCAAAATTTTCAATTCAAAATGCGGGCTTCCAGGTGCCCATGTTTGGATGGATCATTACGTCATTCAAAATTTCATGGCTCTGATGAGTATCGTTGATTTTTCGTAATGGGAGAAACGTGCAAACAGTATTGCAGATTATCCATTATTTAATTTCATGTTAAAATATCATGTTTTCAGATATCATGTTCTTGGCACACACAACATAAAATTCAATTCAACAGCAATACCACCAAATATCTAAAGACAACGTGTCTTTAAGATTTTCCGATAGACAGTTTGCAGATAAAAATGTTTCATTCGGCAGATAAAAATGTTTCATTCGCAACAGTGTTACCACTGCTCGCTTTCAAATCGTTGAGTTTTTTAATCAAAAATTAGTTAAAATTTTACAAAAATATGAAATATCAAACTCAAAATTCTGTCTTCCAGATGCCCACGTTCGGGTGGAGGCCTATGTTATTCAAAACTAAATGGCTCTAGCTACCGTTGTTTTCTCACAGTGCTAGAAATATGCATACCTTCATGCAGCTTCTTCATTAATTAGTCTATTTTTTAAATTATTATACAGGCCAATAATATTCAATGCAGCAATTTGAAAAGTGATACGCCATTTATAGTGATTTAACGTAAAATAACGTTTCCAGACTAATATCCGACTGCGTCCCTTTTGAGCTAAAAATTCAAAATTTGAAGATTTATTAACCTTTTTAACTCTCATGCCCGAAATAATCTCGGGCACAGCACTGGTATTCCAAAATGCCACGCCCGAATATTACTTGGGCTAAATTTTTTTTTTTTTTTTTTTTTTTTTTAAGTGCATCGTATTGTTATGCCCGAATATATATCGTGAGAAGTTTATTTCGGCTTCAGTTCAACAGACGGCAGCATTTTACTGAAGGTTGCAAAGGATAGAGGTTAATGTTCAAAATGCGCGGCATATTTTTGATTTTTTGACTGTGAGGCAAACATTTCATTTTTGAAATAAAAAAGAAATTGACAATTTATGCACCCAAACCATCAAAAGAACTTGGCAGTTAAAAGGTTAAAAATTCAAAATAAATAAATAAATAAATAAATAAAAGATATTAACCTTAGAGATAATTATTTAAAACCATCGCCTGCATGAAGTTATAGACTGTCGTAAGTAAAGAAAATGCAGAAGCCTTTTCTCTTTTTACTTCCTTGTACGAAGTAAAAAGGAAGTATTGTAATCGCGAAAAATTTCAGGTCTCATATTTCAGCGAAAATATTCAATTTCACCGCTATCGAATGCAGCTTAACGATGTTTTTGCGTGACATCTGTACTTAAGGACAGAATAAAGTACACTTCTCCCCGCAAAAAATTACAAAACTGATTTAAAATGAATTCTTAAGAGAATTTTTGTGACGTCTGCGAGTACGTATCTCGCATAATTCAAAAACGAGTAGCCTCAGAACGTTGGAATTTTGTATGTAGAACTGCTATCACATCTAGATGTGCACCTCGTATTTTGGCTGCAGTTCGCCGCACCAAAAGTATATAAATATATGTATATACCCACTCTGTTATTCGGCTCAGTGAGCTCAGTTTCTTTATTCTTATATGTTTGTAAATTGTGCATTTTTTTGCTTTAAAAGGGATTGAATTATGTTGTTCTTATCCCCCGCTTAAGGTTTTCATGCCTTTAGGAAATTTGCAAGCAATATTTGTAGAATTATCCACAATTTAAAAGTTGTTTAAGTGCGGCTAAGCTTAATTTTTGATTACCATGGTGGCCATGTTTGTTTACATTTGAAACAGCAGAATAGTGGATTTGTTGAAAATCTAGAGAAACTATGCTTCGCAACAACAAAGATAACGCCTTCATTTATTATTACGTATTAAATCATGCTTAATCCATTCTGGAATTTAAACGAGGAAATAAGTGTTTAAGATTTACTTCGTTATTTTTACTATAGATATTTTGAATTTTTATGTATTTTTGCCTTGTCGTGAAATGAGAACTGAATTAATTAAATGAGAAATACTGAATCGTGAGTGAAAAACGGTTTCTATTTTTTATTATTGGTTTAATTTCTTTTATATATCGTTTTAGATTTTTATAGTATTTGAATAGAGCATGTGGCAGCGATTAGATAATTTTTAAGATGATATAAATTTTGTGCATTCTGAGTTATAAAATGAATGAAATGTAACGCTGTTAAGTGAACATAGCTCCACAGTGTCGCTATGGAAAACCAATAAAGTGAATTTTAAAGAGTGCATTTATTCTATTGTGGTTTATGCGCTATCGACGAAGTAGATTTAATTCAATCTATATAAGTTTATATGAAATGCAAGAAAAAATGCATATAATTTAATATTCCGTACAAGGATAACAAGAGTGAGTATAAGAAGAACGACCTACCTCTACATATTTTCTGCTTATTATCGAACGCCAGGGCTTTGTTTTTACAGGCGCAAGTAGTTTTAGTGGTATTTTGATCATAAATGCATATCACTGACTCGTGGTCCCCGCAGTCTCCGTACGATTTGCATTCATCGAGAGTTTCACAGAAGGACCCACTGGTGCCATCTTTACAATTGCATACTTGTTCTTCACATTTTCCTCCATTCTGGCACGTATGGGTGTCATTGCATATGGCTGTGAAAATGAGGAAATGTTATTATATGCGATCATATTTAAATATCAAAGCTTATTTAAAAATACAGCTATATGATTAATATTGGGTATTTCTTCTTATGCGGTAAAAGCCGTACTATCCGACATTTTAATAACCGGAAGGCTCAAGTAACCGAAATATTAAAGAATTTCAGAAAAATTTTGCATCCGAAAATTTTCTTAATGTGAGATTTGCAATGGCATTCAGGAGCTCGCAATATTATTAATGCATGTATTTTTTCGCCAAACAGAGTGAAATAGCGCCAATAATTGGTAACCGTGACTCCACAACACAATTTTAAAAAGTTCATTTTGTTTAAGTGTAAATCCGATTAATTCTCGATAATCAAGTTTAAAGCAGGATATAAGTTAAATATTTTCATTTTTAATGGCACTTTGAAAATATATATATGTAAGATAAAAAATGTGAAAGCAAACTTCTAACTTTCATTCACTATAACCTCTTTTATTTTTTATTTCATTTGGAAGCTACATCGCTCTGTCCTAAAAATAGCACTAATAAGTCTAAACTGCATTCAAATTCATCATGCGATCTTACGTAACCCTTAATGCAGATGCCTCTTGACCAATCACCAAATTGCAAACCAAAACTAAAAACTGAAACTTTTGACTCCCTCCCTCCTTTTTATGAACTGATGCGTCACTTTTGCTTATGCTTTCCTCTTGGCCAGAAGTCTTTCTCCAATCATCTGTGTGCTGCTATATTCGCTTCTATGGCAATAATATCAAAATTGTAGATGTTCTTTAATAGGTGGCCCGAGTAGAGTGGCAAGTGAATAGTGGCACAAAATGGGAATTTAAATAAATAAAAGGAATTTAATCCGGCTCGACTGCTTCTTCTTCAAAATGCATGGACGCTTAAGCATCAAGTATCTACGCAATTAGTATTTCTACGCATCTACGTCTCAAAGTTCTTATTTCAGTGCTTCCAAAAGTGTTCTGATTTAAATTCTTCGGCCAGTTCTAATTATGAAGAAATCTACATGAGTTTGTTATTCTATATTCACAGTGAATTATGTGAAAAGTCCTGTTTCACCGAAAATTTTAATGCAAGTTTGTGCCGCATTCATAATCAATTCTTTCATGTCGTGTCATCCAACCACAGTTTCATTACAGGCATATATATATATAACAAATATTTTCTATTTGTATAAAGCAAATAAAATTTAATTAAGAAGTTTTAATTGCAAAGAAATAAAAATAATTATTATTGCTGCGAACTAATTTACAATATCATTTAAATTCTAAGAGCATATGTAAATTAATTACACTTATCTAAAACCAAGAACAAATATGGTATTCCAAAAAAATTAAATTTATTATTCCTAAAAATTGCATAAGTGAATAATTGTTGAGCAGACAGTAGACAGACTTATCAAGGAGAAGATGTCCCCAAACCTAACTCTTCAATTACTCAATTCGTGTTTCGTCATCCATGTAGACAAGGGTAAAATTCAAAACCAAAAGTAAAATTAAATGTGAATTACTAAAAAAGAAATTTAAACAGTGGAATATTGAGAAAATAGCAATCAAACGACTAGAGTTAAAATTAAGTAAAGTAGTTAAATACCAATTAAGAGTAGAAAACCAAATTTTTTTTAAAAACCAAAGTAATTTAGAAAATCTTGCAGGAAACTTCCCCAACACGAATTATGCAAGTAAACCTAAAACAAACTATATACAACAATCAAAAAATAAAAATAATAGTAATAAAATAATAATAAAAAGGCTAGTAAATAGCAAGCTTTAATTTAACTTATCTAGATCTACATATTAGAATTTCTGCGTTGTACTAGCATTTGCTAAACTAGTTGAGTTGAGTAGTATGTTACGCTAACTGTAAAAACAGAGGGCGCTAATACAATGTAAAGTTGAGTGTAAAGCTGCTACCTGTGAGAGCTATTGTAAAAACCTATGTTGTAAATTTTAAAAATGTAAAATGCTTGTTTTGTGTTCAAAAATGTTGCTAACCTTGAGTCATTGTAAAAAAGTGAAAAAAGTAAAAAATATGTACTGCTACTGTTTGTGAAGATATGTTGCAAACTACTAAAATATGTTGCAAATGTGTTGCAATATGTTGCAAATACTACTGAAATATGTTGTAAGTATGTTGCAATATGTTGCAAATACTACTGAAATATGTTGCAAATATACTACTAAAATATATTAAAAATATGTTGCAAACTACTAAAGAGTTGTAGAGACATCAGGTTATTTCGAAAACCCGGAGAGATGGAAAATGAGCAATCGCCTTGGCCGGGAATCGTACCACGGACCTCTGGAATACCTGTCCAGCGTGCAGAACCACTACACCACGAAGGCACGTTAGGAAGGCTGGAGAAATACCTTATATACTTCCCCTTTTAAAGAGTGACTGGGATTTATAGGGGACCCAATCCCCAAATCCTGGGTGAGCAGAATCATTAATTCAACACCTGTTAAGTTCGGGCGCCACATCGCCTTCGCCGGGAATCGAACCACGGACCTCTGGAATACCGACCGGCCCAGCGTGCAGAACCACTACACCACGAAGGCACGCTAGGAAGGCGGAAGACATACCTTATAGAGTAATTTTTTTTTTTTTTTTTTTTTTTTTTTTTTTTTTTTTCAAAATGGTTTTGAAAAAAAATTTAGGAATTTAATTTAATTAAATAAATTTAAATTGAATTAGAATTGGAATAGAAAATTACGAATTAAAATAGAGAATTCTTGTAAGAAATTTTTTGTGCTAGACTACATTACTTAAAACTGAAGTTACAAGTTCAATCGAAACTTTAACTAAATACTGGCCAAAGGTAAGTAAATAAGAAAAATTACATAAAAATCTTCACTCAGTTCGGGCTATAATTGAGCTTTTTGAAAAGAGTTGGCCCTTGAAACTCTTTTTGAAAAGATTTGGGAGAGAGTTGGAAAGAATGCAGTACTGATAAAATATACATTTTTACAAAATATATTTACAAATAACACCTTAACTGTTCAAAATCCTCCATATATGTATATATGTGTGATAAAACTGCGGTTCGATGACACGGGATGAATAATTTGATTTTAAATGCTGCATAAACTTGCATTAAAATTTTCAGTGAAACAGGACTTTTCCTATGATTCACTGCGAACGTAGAATAACAAACCCGTGTAGATTTCTCCATAATTACAACTGGCCGAAGAATGGAATAACAGAAGAATTTTTGAAGCATTGAATGTAAAAACATTGAAATGTAAATGCGTAGAAATGCGGATGACGTAGATACTTGATGCTTAGAGCGCCCATCCATTATGAAAAATAAACAGTCGAGCCGAATTAAATTCCGTATTTATTTAAATACACATTTTGGTGGCAAACAATTCACTTGGTACTCCAATCGTGCCCACCTCCAGAATTTTCCAAATTCCAGAATCACAATTTTGATACCATACCGGTAGAAGCTATCATAGCAACACATAGATGATTGCAGCAAAGCGTCTTAACAGGATCAAAGCTTAAGCGAAAAGAGAAAGAGTGTCGCAGTAGTAAAGCAGAGGAAGAAAATAGGGAGAGAAAGTTTTGGTTTACAATTATTTTTCTTGGGCAAGACATATCTGCATTAAGCGTTACGTAATATTGCATGATTAATTTGAATGATGCAGTTTAGATTTATAGCGCTATTTCTAAGACAGAGAAATGATGTTCCCAAATTAAATAAAACTGAAAGAGGTTATAAATAATTAAATTTAGAAGTTCGCTTTCATACTTTTTAACGCATATATGTTGTCGCCGAACAGTGTGATATAGCGCCAATAATGACGCCACAACACAATCATTAGAAGCTCGTTGTGTGTAAGTGTAAATCCGATTAATTCTTGATAACCGGATATAAGTTAAATCTTTTCATGGCACTTTCAATATATATATATATATATATATATATATATATATATATATATATATATATACATTGTGCTTACTCGAGTAATAGTCTCACTTTTTTGCCAGTTTCTCATTGTGAAAGTCTAAGTACGACTACTATGCGGGAAAATCTACCACACAATATTGTTCACTTTCGACGATATTTTCTGCTTCAGAACCGAGGTGCGACTACTACGGGAGCTCGACTATTACGCGAGTAAGAACGGTATACAGGGTGTATCAGCACAGCGAGTGACAAACTTTCAGGAGAGATCAAGTACACCTACACGATTGGAAATCACATAGGAATGCAGGGTCGGAAATGCTTTCCTGGCGCGGTAGTTACGACACAAAAGTCAAGAAAAAAAGAACACACGAACAGGGTGAGAAAACATGCTAATTATTTAGAGTACAACGAAAACAAAGAAAAAAGCAACATAAAGAGGCAACTATCACCATCAAAGAACCATCAAAGTTCGACATTGCAATCTGGACCGTGATGTAGGAACCATGCCTCGTGCATCTTCCATGCGATCTTCCATTCGTGATGCAGATCTTCCATGCGCCAGAGGTCTGTATTATGGTACGGGGACGTATTATGGTACTTTCTTTAATGACGATCATTATTTGTTTTTCTTCTTATTTGTAGGTTTCTGCTGTATTAAACCTAATATATTTTGTCTCACTGTTTGCGTCCTTTCTTTTTGAGTTTTGTGAGGTTTTTTTTTTTTTTAGTTTCTCGAGTATGCATTGCTATGTGATTTTCCATCGTCTAGGTACCTCTTCTGAAAGTTTGCTACCGCTGTACTGATACACCCTGTATATTTGGAACTGCATGAAGTTCAGCATTTTCAAAGTTACAGCGTCCGGGCATAAAAAAAGCAATGATAAGCGCCAAATAAAACACTAACGTATAAACAACGATGATACGTAGGTCACTCTGAAATTTTTGAGATACATACAGACGATAAATCGCAGGAAAAAATCAACAGTTAGATTGGAAAATAGTAACGATTTTAGCCTGGTAGACAATTTTTACTGGCCAATTGCACGTAGTTTAAATTTTAGGCAGAAG